TACTCCCAAAGCAATCCGCCCACTTTTTCAAAGAAATTTCACCCAGCCCTCCTCCAAAAATAAATCCGCCTCCAATAATTTGTCCTGCTGCCTTTTTTTTTCCTTCCTTTCGTGGAATTCCGTCCACCCTCTTCTTCTTTGGCCCAAATTCGGCCCACAAATTGTCCAAAGAATGCCCACCATTAGTTTCCCAGTTACGTGTCCAATTCCCCTGGCCCATGTCATTAGTTCCCATCCAGCTGGACTTTAAGCCCAGTTTTCGAGAAATGTTTGCCGGTGCAGCTTCTTTTTCGTGTTTTCTTCTCCTGTAATACATCAAACTCATGGCACTAGGCAGTAATGGTTTTTCAACCATTCTCGGGTTAGTGAGCCCTAAAATAGAACCAATTGGCTAAAACATACCACGGATAATCACATAAAGTCCAAGAATCCGATATATTAAAGTCGAATATCAGGTCTACTCCTCTTACTCCCCAGAATGATGTGGGAGAAAGTGGAGTAGAACTCCACACAGAGCTCTCGGTATATAAACTTGTCCACTGCTAGAAGCTGGCTCCACTGGGGGGATACTGAGGACCCCTGACATCGCTGCCTGGCATATGAACATGTCCAAATCAAGCATCCAATGAGGCCCAGCCTCACTGTACCTCCACTGGCCAAACTTGGTCCCATACTTCACGTGGTTCACAATATAGCTAATGAACTCGTGCTCCGTGTCCATCATCCTGCAAAGCATCCAAAACACACACCATAAGTGGAAATAACTGTTAATTTCACATCAAGTGGAGAAAAGAATTCCCCCACACTTAGGCTTCCACTACGGTCTTGTGCCTTGAAAGCTTTTCACAATACCGACTTTTGGACAACTAAGCTTAAATGCACACAAAGCTCACGGAGACATGGTTCTAGGTGGTTCACGGATTATTAACACAACAAAACAAACCTAAACCATGCCCCGATGGCTTCGAACCATCAACCACAAGCACTGATCCACATTCATTCATACTTTTTCACTTGGTGGGCAATTCACATTCATCTACAAATTGTACTCAATTTTATGCCCACCTAGGCTCAATTAAGTTCATGCAACATCAAACATCATTCAAACACATTAATCGGCTAATCCCTCACTCTAATTTCTACATTCAAGCATCAATTCACAAAAATTCACCTCACTTCACACCCAAATCCGATTCTCCAACAAATGATAGGGAAAAAAGTTGAAAACAAACCTAGCAACTCAAGTTGGGTCGAGGTGGAAGTGAGGAAAAGGCGATGGAGCCGAAAAATGCACTTAAAACTGGCTAGAGAGGGGTCGTTGGAGCTTCGCCAGAAACTCGCCGGAAAAAATCAATTGCGCCCAAATCACCTCAAAACTCAGGCGAATGTGCTCCTAGATGAGGGGAGAGTGGGTATGCAATTTGTTTTGGGTTTGGTGGTCGGAGTTCGCCGGGATCTACATAAATAGACAGAAAATCGTAATTTTCCGGCGAGTTTTTGAACTTTACGACGAAAAGGGGCGGTCGTGGGTGAAATGAGTCGTTCACGCCCACACTTATAGGCAGAACCCTCAGTTCACGGATGAAGGTGTTAGTTCACGGTCACTAAGACCGTGAATATAACTCCTGGATCGGGAACTGGGTTTAGACGATCACACCTCAGTTCACGGACGGAGGCACCGCTTCACGGTCATTAAGATCGTGAACTGGAAGCCCAAATCGTGAACTGAGTTAAAAACAGGGCACTCCCAACAATCTTTGACTCAATCTACTCAATCGTGCCCCTAATTCGATCACACCACATCCCAAACTAAGAAAATAGAGAGACTTGGCACGGTGATACCTCAAATTCAACACTTGAACTCTTCACACACATAAAAAAAAGAGAAAAATAAACAAACCGTCGTTGGGTTGCCTCCCATCAACCGCTAGTTTAACGTCTCTAGCTCGATGTTGCGGATCTAACATGCTTGAGGTAATGAAGCCACAGAGAGTGGATCTGCCACGCTCTCGGGGCGAGGCTTGACACCTCCTTCCTTTAGCACCTTAGGGTGGCCCTCTCGGCCAGACACATTCGCCTTACCCTTATCTTTTGGTTGGGAGGAGGCTTGATGAAGCTTATCCCTCCACACTCTCCTCTTCTTTCCTACGTGCTTAGTACTTGCCTTGAGAGGCTCACCTCCACTTTCATTCATACCACTCGAATCCCATTCTTTCACAACATCATTCTTTACCTTATGATCAATTGGAAGAATGAGTTGCGTCTCCCCATCTCTCAACTCCAAAGTTCCCTCATTAACATCAATTAAGGCCTTGGCGGTGGCAAGGAAGGGGCGTCGTAGTATGAGTGGTATATCCTCATCTTTACTAATATCAATGATAAAAAAATCCGTTGGATAAATGAAATTGCCAACTCTCACTAGGACGTCCTCCATAATACCCCTAGGACTAATAATCGAGCAATCGGCCAATGTGACACTAAGCCTCGTGGGCTTCAATTCACCCAAATACAACTTTCTAAAAAGCTTGTAAGGCATCACCTTAATTCTTGCTCCTAAGTCCGCCAATGAGTTTTCTATATCATGATTTCCGATGCAAAGGGGGAGAAACTACCTGGATCTGATTGCTTTTTAGGCAACTTGTTGATGATAAAGGCCGAGCACTCCTCGCCCAAGATGATATTGGCAAGGTCTTCATATTTCGGCTTCTTGGCGAGAAGCCCCTTGAGGTATTTGGCATAACTTGGCATGTGCACCATGGCCTCCAAGAATGGAATGGTGATGCGGAGTTTCCTGAGCATCTCCATGAATCCTCCACACACCGCCTCCAATCGGTCCTTGTGCATCCTTGTGGGGAAAGGAAGAGGAGGCTTGTACTCAGCCACTTGTGGTGGCGTCGGAAATGCCTTCTTAGGGTCTTCTCCCATTTCTCCCATTTCTTAGGGATCATTGGCTGATGGAGGGGTCTTCTCTTCTTCATTCACTTTCTTAGAAACAACCTCCGGGTAACATTCTCGCTCCTCAAAAGAATTTCATTGCACCCTGCATTTTGGTCTTTGGGGTTGACAATGGTTGGAGAGGGTTGGCCTCCCCTTGGCCTTTCGATGAGGATCCCGACAAGATTGCCAATTTGCACCTCCGACTTTTAAAGGCTTCTTTGACGGCTCCTTAATCCCGCCTCAACCGAGATAAACTTTGTTGTTGCCACATCCATAAATTGCTCAATCTTCTCGAACTTTTGAGTGCTTGTGCACACAAAGGTGGTCACAAGGTCTTCAAGTTTTGAAAACTTGTCAGTTTGTTGGAACCCTTGACCTCCTTGAGCTTGAAACGGTTGTTGGAAGTTAGAGCCTTAGAATTGCGGCCTTTGTTGAATGATTGTAGGCCTTGAATGATTTGTGTGTGGTTGTGTTTAATGTGAATGTGAAGGTATTATTCATGAATGATTGTGTTGTGTGAAAGCTCATCAATCTAATTGCCATTCAAACCTAGGTAAAGAGAAAACCCCCCTTCCTTTCTTTGAAAGAGGCTTGAATGTTGGGTTTTCTTAGGCACTGTCGCAACTGCCCTCGAAACCGAGGGACACTTCGCAAATTGCTCGAGTCGCCATCGATCTAAATTGAAGTGGATCGAACAAATTTTTTGGTTTTAACTTTCGAAGTTAAAACCAATAAAAAACTGGTCTGCGAATTGAAGTTATGGGTTCGGGAGTACGGTTACGTGTGAGGAAGTGTATTCACACCCCACAACGCCCTAAATTGGTACTACTTAAATCAATAAGTTCTTAAGGCTTGGGTGTATTATAATTGGTTCCTTATTTATGTATTTAATTATATGATTCGATTATGTCTGTTTTCCAGCTGAACACCATGTCACGTGTTGCTAGTGATCAGGTGGTTTCCTTCTCTATTGCGGAGATTCAATCCGACAGGGTTTGAATGTCCAGGACTCTCATCGGCAGGCTATTCACGGATAACCGCATGTCGGCAATTTAGCTTAGGGAGTCGGTTAATAACCCGTGGCAAGGCCAGGTTCGAATCCAAGTTCGAGTGATTGCGCATGGCCTCTATGAATTCGTTCTTCCAACGGAGGCGGTAAAAAATTGGGTACTCCAACGCAAACCTTGGGTGATTGCTGACAAAATCCTCCACCTGCGGGCATGGATTCCGAATATCACAACCCGAACATTTGATGAGCTTGCTGTTGCTCCGTTCCATGTCCAAATGTGGGATGTGCAGGAGGATTGCCCAACACTTTGGGAGGAAAGTGGCGAATGCCACTCTGGGCCATGTCTTGGAGGCTGGAGTTTTCTCGTGCTCTGACTCAGGGCGCTGCTCTGTGAAGGTTAAAGTGCTGATTGATTTCTCGAAACCTCTACACTCCCAGGTTATGGCCTCCAATGAAGAGACTGGTGATTTCTGGATTCGGTTCAAATATGACCATATTCCCAGCTTCTGCTTTCACTGTGGCCGTGTCGGGCACTCCCGCCAGGCTTGCTCGTTTGATCCGCCAGTTCGGAAAGAACGATTTGGCCCCCATATGTCAACAAAGAAGATGGGAAGGAAAAATTTTGACAACGAGGAGGAGAAGTTGCGATATCTTGGGCACCCGGAATCAGTTTGGATCAATAGAGAGAGATATCCGTGGGAGTAAGGGTGCTGAGGTTCGCTTGCAACATGGACCTCGTGATCTGGGCAAGGGCGCTGATGCTAGGGTTCAACAGGCAGCATGAATCTCAACTAGGAAGGAACCCGACGAGGCGAAAAAACCCTTTGTTGAAGATAGCCCGCTGTGGATGGGCTCCTCGGCGAACCCGTTCCTGATGACTGAGCCGAAAAGCAATCCAGGGAAGAGCCCATTTTGGGTTCCGATTGGGAAACCGCCTAAGCTTGTTATTGGGAGACAAAACAGACGTGGAAGAAGCAATAAAGGTGACAACGCGGGATCCGGTACACTTGATCGTCAGCCCTTGTCCATATAGGAGACTAAAGGAAGGCAACCTATGAAACAGGAGCTCCCGATAGCCGAGCTTGAACAGTCCGCTGGTGATTCTACCAGAATGAAACCCGAAGAAGGGTTTACTCTTGTTCGCCGCCGTCGACTTATACTGGAGGAAGAATCCGAGGAAGAATTCTATGTGCAGGAGGTTCCCTCGCCTTCTCCCCCGATCCAACCTGATGTTGAGATCCCTGTAGCGGGAGTCAAGGCTCGGGGTCGCCTTGCTACGGTGTCGGCAATCTCACGTAGCAGAGCAGCTCGAGGCAAAAGAAGCAAACTGAAAGGGGATCATTCCCATGGCTCTTTGCGAATGACGGTACGGTCTGCTAGTCAGCATAAGCTCCGAACCTTGGCTGCAAAGGGCACTAGCATTGAAGCAGCCAAAGGGCAGGGTAGAGTAACTGGAAAAAAGGGGAGGGGAGGTGAGACTTTGGCACCAGTAGTGGAGGGAAGCGAGGGAGATGGGGAAGGGAAAGAGGCTGCTACCTTAGCGTCATCTCCAAGGGCTCCTCCTGCAGAGGAGAAAATCCCTGTTGTAGTCGGGTTGGAGGATCCAGACTCGGAGGAAGAGACACACCCTTTTGAGTTGCGCCGTCGACACCCTCAGGAAACCAAGAAACTGCAACGATTGGCTCAATCAACTAGGGTGAGTCAAGTGGTGCAGGCCTTTGAGAGTGGGCTAGCCATGGCAGACCTAGAGCCAAAACCTAATCTTGGCAAGCCGAAACCCATTGGGGGAACTACGGGACAGGAATTGGAAACACTTGTGGAGGAAACCAATGCTTTTGACGAGTATGGCTCGAACTTGAGTGACCCAAAAGTGGGGGTTAGAAAAAGGCAGATTGAGGCGATGGAAGGGGATATGGCGGAGTCTCCTACTCCTAAAAGGCAGTTTATTGAAGATGCAGCTGAAGTGGAATCGGTGGAGGAAGCCAGCCGTGAATGGCCCCAGCCAGATAAATGAGGCTTGTTGCCTGGAATGTGAGAGGAATTGGACCATCCCTCACATTTCAAACTGCTATCGGTTTAATTCATTCCAATAAACCGGATCTCGTGTTTTTTTCGGAAACTCGATCGAGCCGGCGTGTAGTCGCCCGTCGTATGAGGGGCTTAGGTTTTGAGTCTTCTTGTTGTTTTTTTTGTTGATGCGATTGATGCATCTGGTGGTTTAGTTGTTTCTTGGTCCCCCGGGGTTGATGCCTCGATGTTCTTTCATTCCAACTTCTGTATTTGTGCCCAAATTAATGAAGTGGATTTTGCTTATATTGTAATTTTTGTTTATATAAGTTGCAATGTTGCTATAAGAGCTTCCCAATTGGCTCAACTCCAAGTTATTTGTGAGGCTTTTCACCTTCCCTATGTTGTTATTGGGGACTTTAACGCTACCCTCCATGAGAGTGAGAAAGATGGGGGCCTCATGTGGAATGATGCTCAGGCCAGGCTCTTAGCCTTCGTGATTTCGTTCATGACCTCGGGCTCCATGACCCTGGTTACTAGGGAGACCAGTTTACGTTGAGAATAAACGAATGGGAGTAGCTTGTGTGCGAGAAAGATTAGACAGAGCGTTGTGTTCCCAATCTTGGATAGACCTCTTCCTAGATACCTTAGTTAAACATTTCACGGATCAGGGGTCGGACCACCGTGCCCTGCTGCTCTCTAATAAACCTTATACGCGGCATAGTTGACCCCTTTTCCGTTTCGATGCAGATGGGTAAACATCCCAGAATTCTGGGCTATGGTGCAGTATGTCTGGCAGGAGGAGGTCCAGGGTACTCCTATGTTTAGACTCTGGGAACGTCTTAAGAAGCTTCGGCACTTGCTGTATGACTGGAGTAGGGAAGGAACCTCAAATTCCTTACGCAATATGAGGACCCTCCAGGCCGAAATTGATCGAATCAAATCTCAGTACCCGATTGACTAGGATGAGGTTCGTCGGTTGGAGTACGAATTGAATAGGAAATGGGAGGCGTAGGAAATTTATTGGCAGCAAATATCTCGAGTTCAATGGTTGAAGAAGGGCGATCAAAACTGTAACATCCCAAACCTCGGGCAATATATAAATCAGTTCAGTTTGATGAGGAATCACGAATTTCAACCATACTCGAAGAAATTGCGACCTCAACGAATGGTTTATGAAAATGAAGAATATTCTGGAATGATGGATCAGATATTTCGAATAAATCTCGATTTCACAAGTTAGAAAAATTTTCCACGATCATGTAGGATTTTACGGAACTAAGTTTGGATTTCAAACGAGTGAGATATGTCATTTTGAAGTCTAGACTTCGTTATTAAAATAACGACCGTACCAACACTAATTTGGTCATAACTTCTTCGTTTGGAATCGATACGACGAGCCGATTGCGCGCACACGATCGTATATACAAGGAGAAGATTTCAGAAGGAGCATTTTCACAATGAAACTTTCCATTAACTATCTACCACTGAATCCTTCCTTTAATATTAAGTTTTGGACCGGATGGTGGAATTAAATAGCCAATCCAATTTATTCATTCTAAAATTGGTTTACATTCCACCACCTCTACACCCCACTTCCAACAAAGCATGAGCTGGAAAGTGACTTTGTTAAAAGCTTACCAACCGACAGCCTTTAATCGCCCACCACTTCCTGTTGGCGTGTGATAATTGAGAGAGGGTAGGCTTTGATAAACAAATGGGAAGCTTTCTTTCTTCTTTTCATTTCACCACCGACATGAACGGCCGAAAAGCCTTGAGAGGAAAGACGAGAGAATGAAATAAAAGAGAGGGAACCAAGCTCCTATGGGTTGTGTTAGAGTAATCAAGGTGTCCGGAAGCCAACTACGAAGTCAGAATCGCCATTGGAGGTTCGTAGAAGCTCATGGGAGGCTCGTCGGAAAGTTGCGTCGGCGGCACCGGCGTCGTCGACTTAAACAAAACTCCAAAAGGCTGGTACCATGACGAAGAGGACGACTCCAGGAGCGTGCATGTTTTGACGAAACTCGTTTTCGACGTCGGACGAGCAAGAATCGAGCTCCGCAAGTTTGCAACATAAAACTGCCGTTTTACAAAACTCAGGTATCATTTCTGGGTGTTCGAAAATGTAGAGGACCTAGACGTAATTGGCCTAAGAGGTCACGGTCAACAGGATTCAGTTGACTGAAAAATGTTAGATTTGGTACCTGGTACTTCGTGTTTTGACAGAATTAGTATTTTGTTCACAATTCGTTCGTTTGACGTCCAAACGACGAACCATTTTCGCCTACAGGACTGTGAGAATGAGGAGAATATTATGAAACCAAGATCTGGAATTTCCAGAGCTTTCACAGAATCAGATTTCGTCATAAATAAGGTGTGTGGGCTTACGGTAAAAGGGAACCGAAATTACGTGTTTATTTCTAAATACACATGATTGAGTTGATGATTAATGATTATGATGGATTTGTGATTGATTCATGATTGTGATCTTGGATGAAATTGTTGATGAAGTTAACTGATTTTTATGATAATAATAATTATTAATCTCGTATTGGAATGGTTGACGTATATGGTGACCTAGAAATAAATCTAGAGATTAATGAGATATTCGTGTGGCATGATAATTTGTTGATGATGTGTTTTTAAACAACAAGATGTGATGATGTGATGATGTGATGGCATGCTAACAATAGTTTTGCCGTATAGGCCAGGTCCACACACTTAGCTTAGTAGCTGACCCATTTTTCTTTCTAGATGTGACAGGTGTGATAAATTGAGGATGACTCTGGCACTGCACAATGATCGATGGAGGATTTTGATTTAAAAGGTTTTTCACCTATTGATTTATTCTAGAACCCTTATTTTACGATTCGGGTTTTGAGCATGCATGATAGTTTACATTGGTCAAGTATGATCATTAACTTGAGTTGAGTATGAATGGAGTAGATGAGATTGATAGTCTGGGTTATGTGAATCCTGATTTTGAGGAAGATTGATTAATGAATTGAGAAAGCGATTTTTAGTAAATTGTTATGATGAGTTGAATTTTAAAAATATGATAATGATGTGGATGTGAGTTGAGTCGAGATTTTGAAAGCGTAAACCCCGAGTGATTTCCGCTGCGTGGTTGAACCATTGGTTTGACCCATGATTTTAGGGTGGGGTGTTACAAGTGGTATCAGAGCCCGCTTTGTTTTCTGCATTATAGTTATGTTACTTTCACTCTTGAGAACTGATCACTCTCAAAAGAGGGGGAGTACTCCATACCTGTATTTGCACTAAACTTCCTGGAATGAGACCAAACATGATGTTGTGATGCATAGTCAGAGTCAGTTGCATTCAATCAAAATGATTTCAAGCATTTTTAGAGAAGCATTTGAAATGAAATCGATTTGAGAAGTTTTTTTTTGAAGAAAGTCCTTTGACGAGTCATTTGAGAGGAAAATTGAAAAGTGATTTCCTCCTCCAAGGAACCATCGATCTGTGCAAAAGGTGCCACGTCCCAATTTAAGGATGGAGTTTCCTGATTCAGGGGAAACAAGAGCTGAAAGAGTTAGTAGGAATTCAGCAAACCTTTAAGGATTGCGGATTTCATTTGGGGGGTTTAGAATCCCAAGTTTCATCATATTAATTGAGGTCAGAGAGACCCAATCTAATGATAAATTTTTGATACATTAGACTAAATACGTGACGAGTGATAACGTGGATTGAGGAAAAATAAATTTCACGAGGATTGATGGAACAAGATTGCTCAGTAGACTATTAATTACGAGAATAAGTCAAGATGAGGAGATGTTAACTAGCATGCGGTGAAAATGATGACGGTCGATCGACAACGAGATACATCATCAAAATAATGATGTAAAAGGGGATAGATGACCAAAAGTTCAGGTCAACATCGTAGGAGTCAAGGACACCAATAGAGAGTAGATGTGATGGGCGAATAATGGACAAGTTGGGAGCCAGAGCAAATACAGGATCTCGAGAACTAACTCGTGTCATGATCAGTCTATGGTCAGTACCAGAAGCCTCAAGCATGAAGGAGACGCCACGTAGCCATAGTTGAAATGGCTATAGAGATTGAACTCTAAAGTGACAAATTGGTGCTATATGTTATCGGATGGTAACTGACACTACGGGATTAGCATCATGAGCAAAAACGACGGAGCTCTAAATATGTTCCCAAACCATGAATCAAATTCTTGATGAATAGACCGAGACGATGGGAGGACGTGAAGGAAAATTCATCTCAAAGAATGAGAGTTTTCTTGAACACAATAAGGAGATGTCGAGGGACTGAGACTTGATGTCTCATATGGAGGAGACAATGTTCTATTGCGAACAATCATGTAAGAGATTGTGAAAGGAGACAAGTAAGATGACAAATCATTTAGTGACACCACTGAATTGACGAATTGCTGAGGATGAAATCACGGATGACATGAGAAAGGAAATGCCTAGTTTTGTTTTGGAAGCTAAAGAACCCTAATGCCTAAGGTTGTGGAGAAAGGCTAAAAAAGTTGGAACACGGCCAGAGGGACCATCAAAGCATAAGTGGGGGAGCGTGCTGAACTAATAAAAATGTACCCCTCAAGATACATGATTAACCTAATGCTTATGGCAATAGATTGACTTTATTCAATGGTTACACTTCTCAAATCACCACAACCGAGTGAGAAGAGACATGAGAAAATAAGAGGGTTGACCATCCTCGGTGCTCTAATTAAGAATTATTCACAATGGAGTTGGTTCGAAGGACGTGTATGCCAAATTGACCAACACTTTGATTTCGGGGACGAAATCCAATTAAGATGGGGAGAGTTGTAACATCCCAAACCTCGGGCAATATATAAATCAGTTCGGTTTGATGAGGAATCAAGAATTTCAACCATACTCGAAGAAATTGCGACCTCAACGAATGGTTTATGAAAATGACGAATATTCTGGAATGATGGATCAGATATTTAGAATAAATCTCGATTTCACAATTAGAAAAATTTTCCACGA